ATAATTCCAATATTTTTTTCAAATATTTTCTATCAAAACACAATTAACCAAAAAAAATTGCGCAAAGCTTGTAGCTTAAATAAAATCGTGAGAATATTCCAAAAAAGTTTAGAAATACTAGAAAATTAAAAATAGCCAAGAAAACAACACAAAAACACCTCTCAAAGATTATTTCCTGCGCAACATTCTCCCCCGTCTCGCATCACTTTTTCTATTGAGATGGCGTAATTGCTAGTTTATTTAGCATTTAAGCTTAATTTGTAGACAAAAACAAGATATTTAAAAAGATTAAAAATAATTGAGAATAGTTTTTGCAAAAATAGGCATTTAGTTTTTATTTGCTAATAGTAGTTATAAGCAACAATTGTCTATAAAAAATAATTAAATATTATTGGGTAAATATTAAATGGAAAAGAATGAAAAGAAAAATAGAAATATGAATAAATTAAAGTTTACAACTTTCCGGAAATTAAATTAAAATTTGTAAATTGTAATATTTTCGGAAAGAAGTGAAGTCTACAAATAAAGTTTACAATCCTTCCGGAAAGAAAATTAAAAATAATTTATTTTACAACCTTCCGGAAATTAAATCAGAATTCAAAATTGGAATATTTCCGGAAAGAAATAAAGTATACAAATAATAAAGTTTACAACCTTCCGGAAATGGGTATTACAAATTGTAAATAGGTCTTCCGGAAAGAAAAAATTGTAATTTTATTTTTTCCCGATTGAAGCATTAATAATTATAAAGTTTACAACTTTCCGGAAATTAAATCAGAATTCAAAATTGGAATATTTCCGGAAAGAAGTAAATTATACAAATAATAAAGTTTACAACCTTCCGGAAGGAAAAATAAAATTACAATTGTAAATTGAGCATTCCGGAAAGAAAAAATAAATATAGTAATTTATTTTACAATTTTTCCGGAAAGAAAAAGTAAAAATTATGCGTTTTAAAATCCAAAATTGAAGAAAAGATTGACGAAAATAATAAATTTAAAATTTTTAGTCTACTTCTCGATGATTCTACAATCAACATAAATCGAATTTGCTCTCTATAATAAAAAATAGTATTATTTATTTAATTTTAAAATTTTTTCTATTAAATTTTAAAACAAACAAACTTTTATATTTGTTCATCACAATAAAAATCATCACAATCCTCCTCCTCGTTTACTTCATTAATTTGGATACCTTTATTTTTTAAAATTTTGTCTCTAGTTCGTCGTTGAATCGGTTCTCTATCTTTAACTTTTTGTTTAATTTCCGAATGATTTTCTTCATCAGTTTTTGCAAGCTTTTCAATTTCCTTCCATTGTTCCTTTTTTGTTGGACTGGCTTAAAAAGCTTTTTTTCAAAAAAAATTTTTGCAGAAATTTTTTTGAAAATTTTTGGGGTCTTTAAAAAATTTTTGAAAATTTTTAGAGGTCTAAAAAAATTTTTAAAATATCAACAAATTCCCTACATTTAATAATAGGATTCTTAAAAGGAGAAGAATCTTTTCCTTTAATTTTTTTGCCTTTATCCTTCCCCTGATTTTCCATCCCGTTTACTTCAACAATTAAAATAATAAATAAAAAAATTAAATTAGCTTTAAACATTTTTTTGAAAATTTATTTGGAAAAATATTTTTCCCTTTTTCCCTGTTAAATATTAAATTTAAAATTAAAAAATTAAATTAAAATTAATTTTTAAAAATTTAAATAAAATTAAAAAAACTAAATTTAAAAATAAATATAAAATGGCATTTTATAAGGCCATAACATCTCGCGGTTACTTTTACGAGATTATACTTTTTCATTTACTTTTACCCCAGCTACATGCACTTTTACATATACAGCCAATAAATTTAAATAATTTTATTTATTTATTTTTTTTTAAATTTGTGTTTTGGCCAAGCGGCATTCTTTTTTTACATTTTAAAGTGCTAATTAAAAGTGCAAGAAAAAAATTTATTTTTAATTTTATTTAATAAATAAAAAATATTAAAAAAAATTTTTTTCTTTAACAACTAAATTAAAAAGTTGAGTTTAAAATTTTGTATAATTTCTGGTTTCCAGATTTTTACTTTTTTCGCCCGAACCCAGATTGTCATAAAAAATTTCTTTATAAAAATTACACAACAATTGAGTAATTTGAAGAATTTGAAGATTTAAAAATTTACAAATTTAAAGACACTAGTGATCTAAAACAAGGGTTGTTAAGGGAAAACATGATGAAAACACAATAATATTTTTAAACAATTTTTAAATTTCAAAATTTTTTCATATATATTTCCAATTCCAACTTTAAATTTCTCAAAAAATATTTCCTTCATCTTCATCACAAAATAAATAGTCCTCCTCCTTCTCATCACACAAATACATATCTTCCACCTTATTTCTTAAAGTATCATTATCATAAATACAGCTGTCATTAGAATCTTGTGAAGGGATTTCCTCAAAATTAAAATTATTTTCTTCTTCCCCCTTTACTTCTCCCTTTTCTCCTTCCTTTACTTCCTCCCTTTTCCTCTTCCCATTTTTCTTCCACCCTTTTTCCAATTCCTTCCTTTGCCTTTCTTCTTCCCCTCCCTTCCACCAAACACCTTCCTTCTTATATTCCTCCTCCATTTTCTTTCTTAATTTTTGTCTTTCTCGCTTCCTTCGCATGTCATTTTGAAGCTCTACATGATCAGTATTTTCTACACCATCTTCAATTTCATTAAAATTTACTTTAACTAATTCTTCTTTTAATTTTTTTATCTTCTGAACATCTCTACCGGTTATTTTTTCCTCAAATATTGCCTTATTAATTCTTGCTCTTTTAACTTAATTTTTAAAAAATCTTAAAATTATGTTTCTAGTTTCATTGGAAAAACTTTGAACTCGCAAAGAAGGACCGGAAGCTCTCTGAGAGTTGCTTATTGTCTAAGGTTGTGACGAGGGGAGATTGAGGGGTCCGAAGGCTCCTTCCCGAATCTACGATGGCTCCTTCCCTCCAAATCGGAGAGAAGGATGGAGGATGGAGAAGGATGGGGAGAAGAAAAGGAGGCTTTTCTTCCTTTCCTAGAGCTCCTTTCCCGAATCTGAGATGACTCTTTCTCGCTGAGAAGGAAGGAAGAAGGGAGGAGGAGGAGAGAATGAGGTTTTCCCTTCTTTCCGAGGGCTCCTTTCCCGAATCTGCGATGCTCCTTCTCTCCTTCCCTCCAAATCTGAACTTGAAACTTGGCTATCTTCCAAACAGGAGATGATAGAGGAAGACTTCTATTTAGAAGGAAAATTTTTTTTAATTTTAAAAAATTTTCTTAACTTTTAAATTCATTGGTTGTAGGACCATTCTCTCCATCAGACCATTCATTATCTTCAATTCCATTCTTTCCTGTGTCCATTATATTTTTTCCTCTATATATATCCATCCCCTCATTCAAATAAATTTGTAAATAAATAAAAAGAAAAATTAAAAAATAATTTTGAATTTTAAAATATTTACGGGAATTTAACATTTTATTTTAATTTTAAAAGGGTAATTTATTTTAAAAAATTTATTTTTAAAAAAATTTTTTTATATAAAAATTTAAAAATAAAAAAATAATAATAACAATAAACACTTTAAAAAGGGCAAATTTAAATGGACAAAATTGCACTTTTTAATTTTTAGTCGAACCCATGAGAAGCACATGCATTAAAGGATAAATAAATAGGGGGGAGATAGGGCAAGGGCATCTTTGATTTTTTAATTTTTTTTTTTGATTATTTCTTGCACTTTTAAAATTTAATTTTGTGTGTTTTGGCCGAGAGCGGCCCTTTCTTTTTTTTAATAAACAAACAATAAAAAAATTTATTTAATTAATTAAAATTATTATTTTTGTTTTTAACGTCTTCATTGAAGTATTTCTTATTAAAAAAAAATTTTTTTGAAAATTTTAGGTTTGTATCTGATGCAAATTGAAGCAAAAAAGAATTTTAAACTTTATTAATTTATTTAATTCTTATTTTTACAATTTTCTTATTTGCTTCTTTTTGAGGGAAAAAATAAAACAAACATTCAAACGCGTTAACAGCGTAGTCAAACAATGTTTATATGTTTATTTATATATTTCCCTCTCCCTACTTGATTGATAATTTTTACTAAGACCTCTCAAGTTTGTTTTTCCAGTCCCTCAGCCTGGGACAAGTTTCCAGTCCCTTAGCCAGGGACTGAAAAAATCAAATCTAGCTTCAGAAAAAAAAGGTTTATTATAGAAAACATCAAAATTTAAAATATATCCTTCCCGAATCTATAAATAATTTAAATAAACCAATAAGGTAAACGTATCTTGTTTTATCTCAATGTTTTTCTAATCATCATTCTAATATCTCCTCCATCCTCCAAAAATATCTTTGGTACTTATCCGGTGGTGCCAGTGTTCATAGATTTCAATTTTGCCTGGACTCCTACTTCGTACAAAGTGCGAATTTTGGTACGAGTTTCTGAACACTGGTTGGTACTTATCCATAAATTGAGTACCAGCTGACTCTGATCGGCTATAATTTTTTGCTGCTTGATCCAATTCACATGGATTTCAGCATCATTTGAAAGCCCTCGATAAGCGGTATCTTTTTTCCTACTTACAACCGATAACCTTTTGATGCTTGATCCAATAGAAATGAATCTTATTATCATTCAGAAGCCCTCGATAGGCGCTATCTTTTTCCAAACTTATTGGATTCGGTCAGATCAATCGTAAAAAAGTTATAATCCGATAAATGAGAAAAACACCAACTAACGGGATCTATCGAACTATAACTTTTTAATGAGTGATCAGACCCGATCTATCCAAGTAGAAAAAAGATACGGCTTATCGAGAGCTTTCGAATGAAATAAGATTCACTAGGATTGGATCAGGCATCAAAATTTATAGCAAATCAAACTCGGCTGGCACTCAATTTATGGGTATATAACGGATAAATACCAAGTCTTTGAAATAATATTTGTTTAAATAAATTTTGAATTAAAAAAAATTTTTTAATTTTCCTTCATTAATCCCAATCAACATTATCTTCATCACACAAAAACTCATCACAATTCTCATCACAATTGAACATATCCTCATTATTATTCCTCAAAACATCATTATCATAAATACAGCTTTTATTGGACTCCTGGGAAGGGATAAATTCATTCTCCTTTTCTTCATCTTCCACTCCATTCCCCCTCTTCCACACTTTTTCCAATTCCTTCCTTTGCCTTTCTTCTTCCCCTCCCTTCCACCAAACACCGTCCTTCTCATACTCCTCCATCAAATTCTTTTTTAATTTCCGTTCTTCCCGACTTGTTCGCATTTTATTAATAATTTCTGCTTCATTTCTATTTTCATAATCATGTTTAATTTTGTCAAAATTTACTTCAAATAATTCATCACTTAATTTTTTCAATTTCGGACTATTTCTATTTTTTATTGTTTTCTTAACTATTTTCTTTTGAAGTTCCCTTCGTTTGGCTTAAATTTAAAATAGTTAAAAAGCAGAGCTGAGCTCTCTCTCTAGTCTCTATCCTTCAGCTAGTTCGAAAGGTTATTAGGCGGCTGGGTGCGAACCAGCACCTTCAGCAGTTGAGGACTTATGTGTTATCCACTACACACACCACCTCCTGTACAGCCTTAACTTAGAAAAAAAACTTCAGGAGCTCCCCGTAGGTCACACATGGTTAACTATTGATGATGAACATCTTGGGAAATTATAGCTGAGAGAGACTCTGCAGGGGCTCCTTCCGGTCGAATCGGAACTTGGAACTTGGCTTCTAACGGAAGGGGATAGCGGAAACTTCTGTTTTAGAGGGCCACAATTATTAGTAGTTTAAGTTAAAAAAATTTCCAAAACCTTTATACGGACTGGTATTAAGACCCTTCTCTCCATCAGACCATTCTTCATTTTCTTCCATTATATCTTTTCCCCTATTATCCATCCCCTCATTTAAATAAATTTGTAAATAAATAAAAAGGAAAATTAAAAAATAATTTTGAATTTTAAAATATTTTTTGGAATTTAACATTTTTATTTTAAAAGCTTTTAATTTTATAAATTTATCTAGAAAATTAAAAAAAAAGTTTAAAAAATTTAATTAAATTAAAAATAACGAGTAATAATGAAGATAAATTTAAAAAAAGGGCAAATTTAAATGGGGAAAATTGCACTTTTTAATTTTTTTACGAGGCCCATGCGATCCACAGGCATTCATAAGTATTGGGAGATAAAGGGGGGAGGGGGAGAGAGGGATGGGGAAGAGGGAGAGATAGGAGGGGAGGGGAGGGGGAGAGAGGGGGAGAGATGGGAGGGGGAGAGAGGGGGAGAGATGGGAGGGGAGAGAGGGGGAGAGGGAGAGATGGGGGAGGGGAGAGATGGAAGGGGAGGGGGAGAGGGAGAGGCTAGAGGGAGAGAGGGGGGAGGGAGAGAGCGAGAAGTGCATCTTTGATTTTTTAAAATTTATTTTTGATTTTTACTTGCACTTTAAAAATTTATTTTGTGTTATGGCCAAGAGCGGGCTTTCCTTTTAAATAATAAAAAAAATTTTTTATTTTTTTCTTGCACTTTAAAAATTTATTTTTGTGTTTTGGCCAAGAGCGGCCTGTACTTTTTTGATAAATAAAAATTTAAAAAATTAATTAATTAAATTATTTATTTATCTATACATATTTAACGTCTTCTTCAAAGTATTTCTTATTTTTAATAATTTTTTTTGAAAGTTTCAGGGTTATAATTGACGCAATTTGAAGCAAAAATAATTTTATTAATTAAATAATATAATATTTTTATTAATTAATTTTTATTTCTAAAATTATTTTGTTATTTTTACAATTTTTTTTATTTTTACTATTTGCTTCTTTTTGAGGGAAAAAATAAAACAAACATTGAAACGCGTTAACAGCGTTGTCAAACAATGTTAATATGTTTATTTATTTTTCCTCTCCCACTTGATTGATAATTTTACTAAGACCTCTCAAGTTTGTTTTCTTATAAACTTAAGTTTTGAGCATTTGCAAAATAAACTTTAAGATTTGTCAATAATTTACAACTGCTTAAGAGAATGCTTAAAATAGGGGAAAAAACAAGTTTATTTAAGTTCCGGAAAAATTACAATTCTAGTATATACCCTTTACAAAAAGGTTTACAAACTTAAGTTTATTATTTTAATTTTAATAAACTTGAATTATAAAAATAAACTTGAATTGTAAAATTCCGGAAATTTTCCGGAAAACTTGAATTGTAAAAATATTAAACTTGAATTGTAATTGTATTTGTTTTCCGGAAAGTTTCAAGTTTCTTTTAATTCTTCCGGAATGAATAATTCCCTTAATTTATTTAAACTTGAATATTAATTAAACTTGATTAAACTTAAGTTTGTAAACTTAATTTAATTTTTTATTCATTTATAATTAATTACTAAAATAAACTTGAATTGTAAAATTCCGGAAGTTTGTAAATTAATTTTTATTTCTTTTCCGGAAGGGTTTTATATTAATCCTGATGTATTTAAACCTGAATATTAATTAAATTTTAATAAACTTAAGTTTGTAAACTTAATTTAATTTTTAAACCTGATTAATTATTAAATTAATTAGGTTCAAAATTAAAACTTATTATAATTAGAGATCGACCCTAGACTAGATCTCAATCAAAAATCTCGGTTATCGAAGTCGAGAATTTTTTTAAGATTCTCAATTTTCTTAAGACCCTCCCAGTCCGATCTCTAATTATAATTTTTAATTCATCAATAAATTAATTACTGAAATTTAGTAATAAAGTTTAATAATCAAACTTTATTAAAATAGTATCGCAAACATAAACGTTCTTTATAACAATTAAAATTAATATTACACCATTTAATTTACACAATTAAAGTTTTGATTAATTACCTTCTAATTTTATTTTTAAAGGGGTTTTAATTATTTTTAATTTAATCATTATTTAAATAAATTTTAAATTCTCAAAAATTATTTTTTCCTTGATTGTCTCATATATTTTGAGTTAAATCATTATTATTTTTATTTTTATTTTTTTTTGTTCCACTCATTTTTCACATGCAATATAGCCATTATTTTTGTTTTTTTTTTGTTGCGCGGAGAAGTTTGATTAGCGCGCGTGTCTCCTCGTAATATTCTTCGACCAATTCGCTAAATCATTCAGAAAAAAGTCAAAAATAATATTGACCAGTTATTTATTTATTTTTGTTTAATTTTCTGTTTAATTTCTTCTTTAAAAAATTCTTTAAAATTAAAAAATTTTTTGGCGCTGGTCTAGTTTATTCGTTCAATGAAACTTTATGAGTCCAATCAAAAAATAATTGAATTTTTCATGGTGTTGCAAAGTTGGGGTATCTTCATCTTCGGGACCTACGCCCACTGGGTCTGGGACCATTCCTTGCCCTATCTCTCGAAATTTCGGAAAGTTATAATTTTTAAAAATTGGCTATAACTTACCGAAATTTCGAGGGATAGGGCAAGGAATGGTCACAAACCCAGTGGGCGTAGGTCCCGAACATGAAGAAATGTTTTGGAACCATACCCCAACATTGCAACATCATGAAAAATCCAATTTTTTGTTGATTGGACTCATAAAAGTTTTATTGGACGAATAAACTAGACCAGCGCCAAAATTTCTTTAAAATTCTTTATAATTAAAAACAATTTTTTCTCTCAAAAATATTTATTTTTTTTTAATTTTTAAATACACACTCGACTGAATAATGAACTCAAATTAAATATTAAATTCATGTAAATAAAATTTAAATCACTCAAAAAAAATTTTTTTTATTTAATACACAATTACTTTTAAAAGTACATATTTTTATTTCCTCGTATAAACTAAAATAATGCGCAACATAACAATTGATTCAATATTTTTTAATAAATATTTAAAATAATATTTATTATATAGGATTATTTATTAAATTATTTAAATGAGGGTATAACAGAAAAAATAAAAAAAATCATGCTTATGCTTAGTAAACTTTTTATTTAAGAGTAAGCTTAGTAAGTGACAAATAAGTTTTTTAAGTTTGCAACAAGTTGGTAAACTTTAATTTTACAAACTTGACTTTTCCGGAAACTTTTATAGTAAATAGAAAAATAAACCTTCCGGAAAGGATAACTTCACAAGTTGAAATATTCATTACAACCGGAAAAGGGTTTGTGAACCTTCCGGAAAGGTTTTGTAAAAACAAGTTTAATTTAATTTACAAACAAGTTTTCCGGAAACTTTTGTAGTAAATAGAAAATAAACCTTCCGGAAAGGTTTTGTAAAACAAGTTGAATAACCTCACAAGTTTAAATCTTCATTACAACCGGAAAAAGGTTGCAACCTAAGTTTGCAACCTTGCGACTTTTCCGGAAAGCTTTTGTAAAACAAGTTTAATTTAATTTACAAACAAGTTTTCCGGAAACTTTTATAATAAATAGAAAAATAAACCTTCCGGAAGACTATTGTAAAACAAGTTGGATAACCTCACAAGTTGAAATCCTCATTACAACCGGAAAAAGGTTGCAACCCTAACCTTAAAGTTCGCGAACCTTTCCGGAAAGCTTTTGTAAAAACAAGTTTTTAATTTAATTTACAAACTTATGTTCTTTCAGTACATTTTTCTAAAAAAAACAATACATAGTTTGTATTTATTCATTTTTATATTTACATAAATTAATTTAGTACATTTCCGGTTAGAAAAATATGAAAATACACATATTAAAAATTGACGAGAATATTATTTGTTATTATTAAACACTTTAATAATTTCGTAAAAATAATAAAAATTTATTTTATTTATTTTTAAATTAATTTAAAAAATAATTAAAAAATATTCCAAAAATTAGGGTAAAAATGTTAGTTGATTTTCCTCCTCCAAATAATATTAACACCAAAAATGGAGATAACAGAATATACGAAACTGATGGGCATTTAAATTTATTAAATAAAAATCAACAAAATTTGGTTGTGTTTAATAATACTAAACAACACGTATCAAAACAGTCGAAACAAAATTTTATTTTTTGTTTCTGTAAAATTTGTGGATATAGATATATTATTTTGTTGCTCACGGTGAGGGACAATTTTTGATTACTTGTCAAAAAATTATTTAAAAAATTAAAAAAAATTTTTTTTTTTCAAGGCCCTCTGCCTAACTTCAATTTGTTCAAATATGATAGTCTTTAATTTCACTTTAATATTAATGAAAAGACCAAATTGGGAAAATACAACACTATTATCCATTAATTCGTCAACTAAAATTAAAGTAAAATTATTAAATTTTAAAATTAAAAAATTCCAAAAATAGGAAGAAGGCCCTTTTATTGTTTTTAATGAAACACATATTATGCCTAAAAATGTGCCTTATACTCAATCAGAAAAAGCTCAATTACAATATGCTGTAAGTTTATTAGTTTAATTATTATAAAAACTCTTACAATTGTAAAACATTATATTTAAATTGTAAATTAACAACTTACAATGAAAACATTAGACAATGTTTTACAAACACAAATGTTCATTTAAAACATTGTCCACTAAAATTACAATTGTAAAACATGTTTTAACAAAGTTGTAATTTAAAAACTTTTTTGCAACTTAAAAACTTGTTTGTTCCCAAACAAATGTTTTTACAAAACATTAAAACTTGTTTGTTTGTTGATAAAACTCACACAAACATGTTCACAACAAAATTTTACCCAATGTTTTTACAAAAACATTTTTCAAAACATTTAAAACTTGTTTGTTTGTTCACAAACATGTTCGTTTATAATGTTTTTACAAAATGTTTTACAACTCTTAACAACTTTATTTTTAAATAAACATTTGTTTTTAAAAAAAGGTTGGAATAGCCAGTATAATTTCAACATTCCCCTTTTCAATGTTATATACAAAATTCGGTGCCCGTTTTGTATTTTTATCAGCTGGCATACTTTCAACAATATCTACAGCATTATTACCCTTTGCTGCTTCTAAAGGGATGATTGCATTTACATTTATCAGATTACTTCAAGGCTTTGCTTATGGGGCCAATTTTGCAGCTATTGGTTTTGTTTGTCATCGGTGGGCTACTTTGCAACAACATGGATTCTTTTTGTAAGTATTTTTGAATTCTCTTTGAAGGAAAATCTTTTAAATTAAATCAGAGCCTGTATGACTACATTTACTTCACTTTCTGTTACACTAACTAACCCTGTTGCAGCATTTGTAAGTTTATTTTAGGGTAGCAATACGACCCCTGAAACCCTGACCCTAACGATCTTCGAAGGCAAAAACCCTGACCCAAACCGTGAAGTCAAACATCGATCCCTAAGGATGGAATTAGGAATTTTTCGAACATTTGAACTATTCTAAGTGTCCCCAAAGTGACGGGAGTTACCCTATTTTTAATTTAAAATTGTAACCTCTATTTTTCTTTAAATTTAGATAAGTTCTGTGCCTTCTCTGGGTTGGCCGTGGGTCTATTATTGTAATTTGCCTTGTCCTAAATCCAAAAATTATTTCCAATATTCAGTCCATGCATTAGTCTCTCCAATACTTTTTGGATTTTGGCTATTTCTCTATACTGACCATCCTGATACCCACCCTTGTGTTAGTCAACGAGAAAAAGATCAGATTTTGTCAGGCAAAACAGAGGCAGAAATTGGGATTAGTGGATTTATGCCTTACCGGTAAAGAAAATTTTCTGAGGGAAAAGGGTTCCCCAAACCCCAAAAATATTTTTAGAGCAATTCTTTCAAATAAGACTGTGCTCATTGTTTGGCTTAACTCTTTTGCTGATATCGTCACGGCCGTATTTTTAATTACTTATTTGCCTACTTATGTTTCCAAAGTTCTTCGTTATGGTGTTAGGGAAACAGGTATTTGGTCTGCTGTACCTGCCCTTTTACATATTCCGGTTAAAATTGGTTCTGGGTGGTTGGCTGATAATATGAGGTAATGAAAATTAAATTCTGGAGTCCACACCTTAAGACCTATTGAACTCTCAAGACCTCTAACAATTGAAAGGGAATATCGAGGGATTGAGAGGGGTTAGAGGGGATATGATCTCAACTCTATGGAGATAAGTACCCCGTTCTGTATTTTAGAACCTATGGTCCGGTATTGTGGATATGTACTCTAACTTTGCGTGAGTAGGAATCTCTATCCCCTTCAATCATCCCAAATCCATCGATATCCACTTAATCCCGAGATATCCCCCATTGATATTCCGCTTTAAAAGTTGTTGGTTTTCAGTGTTGATTTCAAATTCTGATCTTATTTTCTGAATAATTTGTCACTAAAAGTAGAATGCTCATTTCCTCCTCATAATAAAGTAATCTTTCTCTCAGATGTATGAGTGAAATTGGTCGAATGCGCCTTTTCAATTCAATAGCCTTAGTAGGCTCAGGCGTTGCTTTTGCATTAGTTGGTTTTGTTCCAGATGACAAACGTTTTCTAGCAGTTATTTTAATGACTATAAATTTTGCTTTGGTCTCTACAAATTGTGGGGGATTTTATAAATGTGCTACTTTAATCAGCAGGTCTGGAAAAATTGACGAAAATTTTCAAAAAATTTTCAAAAAAAATTTCTAGGCAATATGCTCATTTTGTCGTTGCTGGTATACAATTCGAAAAATCCATCACTCTTTTTGTCTCCCCATTAATATTTCTTTTGTTTATTCGAGATGAGAGTAGTCGAGAACAATGGAGGAATGTTTTTATTGGAATGGCTATAATACTTTTTGTGGTAAAAATTTCAGAATTATTCAAAAATAAAATTCTGATTTTCAAGGCAAATACTTTCTTTTGGTTCTTTGTAACTGACCAACCAGCAGAATTTACCAAAATTGTTTCTAAACAAAAATCAGAAAAACAACAACAGAAACAAAACAATTTATTATATATAAGTAAAACAGATATTTAATGTTTTGATATTTTTTGTAATTAATCTTTAAATTTTAATAAAATCAGAATTTAATTAAAACACGTTGAGGGAAAACAACTGAAATCAGAATTTAATTAAAACATTTTTAGGGAAACAAAATTAAAACCAGAATTTATTTAAAACAAACTTAAGATCAGAATTTAGTTAAAACGAACTTAAAACTTAGACAAACTTAAAATCAGAATTTGTTTGAAACAAACTTAGTATAATCAGAATTTAATTATAACATCTCTAAAATCAGAATTTAATTAAAACAAACTTAAGTTCAGAATTTAGTTAAAACGAACACAGAATCAGAATTTAATTAAAACAAGCTTGTAACTAGAAGAAACAAACAAACATTGTTTAGAAATTAAGAATTATTTTCAGAATTTTTTTATTTATTTCTGAAATAATTATTTAACAATTATTAAAACCCCTTAAAATTAGCTACAAAAAATTATTAAATTCTTTTTTTTATCACAATTATTTTATCATAAAATTGATAAGACAAAAAATAAATATTTATTGCCCATTTTCCAATAAATTAAATATAAATATTTTCTCCGAACAAAAATTAAATTTTTTTAATTTATTAAATGGATATATTAATTGATTTTGTTTCCCAGTTTATCCAAAATAGGCACGAGGATGATCACTTTGACAGATTAAATTATCAAATTACCCCGTTCCTTTTCGTCTTGCTTTCTCTTGTTAATATATCTAAGGTCTTATTTTTTGTTGAAAAATTTTTGAAATTTTTTTGAAAATTTTTCAAAATTTTTAAAATTCGAAAAATCATCATTTTAAAGCTCTATATTGGCTCAGCCATTAATTGTTTTGCCAAAGCAGAATTTAAGGAAGGCTGGGTACAATATACTAATGATTATTGTTTAGTTGAAAATACTTATTATATTAGGTAAATTAATTAATTTTATTTTTCAATTAAATTTAAAGAAGCGATGAAAGAATTCCGTTACAGAAAGAATTGAGAAATCGAGAAAGAATTGCTTATTACCAGGCAAGTTGTAAATGTAAAGCTTGTTTGTTTTAATGTTTTATATTGTTTTATGTTCACTAGAATAATTTTTAAAAAATATTTTCAGTGGGTTCCATTTATTTTAATCCTTCAAGCATGTTCTTTCTACATCCCCCATCTTATTTGGAGATCTTTTAATTGGCTAAGTGGTTTTCAAGTTAAAGCTGTTGTTTCTGCTTCTAAAGGTGGTTCTAATTCGAATTTATTTAATTAAAATTTATATTTAAAATTAAAATAAAGAAGTTGAACAACAAACAAATGATGAAGTAACTAAAATAATAGCAAAGTCACTCTTCCACGCTTCACAACAACAACATCAACCGATATGTTTTGTTCGTAAGTTTAATTGTTGGTTTAGTTTCACATTATTCTGTTAATTCTGAACTTGACATAAAAATAAACTTTAATTTAAACATTGTAATAAACTTTTGTAAAAACATTAGGACCTAAACTTGAAAATTAACTTGAAGTTGGAACTTGAAAATAAACTTGAATCAAAACATTAAAATAAACTTGAATCAAAACATTAAAATAAACTTGAATTAAAACATTAAAATAAACTTGAAATTACATCTCTAAATAAAACCTAATTTGCAAATTCAAGTTTTAAAATAAACTTGTTTAAAATAAACTTGTTTTTCCTTTAGATAAACAACATTTTGTTGGCTTCCTCTTTCTAACAATGAAATTAGCCTATGTTTTACTCATTTGTTTTCACCTTTGTTTATTTAAATTTTTCATTGGCAATATAGATTTTGCTATTGGAATTTTAGATCATAAAGGAGAATGGAGACAATCAGGTAATTTATTTAAATATTTATTAAAATATATTTTTTCAATTTTAAGGACATTTTCCTCGTGTAACTGTATGTGATTTTAATGTAAGTTTTAAATAAACTTGAATTTAATTAAATAAGCTTGTTTTACAATTCAAGTTTGTTTATTAAATAAACCTGAATTTGTTTTTACAACTTGTTTTTGCAATTCAAGTTTGTTTCTTTAGATAAACTCGAATTTAATTAAATAAACTTGTTTTACAATCAAAGTTTTTTTAAACAAACTTGAATTTGTTTTTTCAACTTGTCTTTATAATCCATGTTTGTTTTTAAATGAACTTTAATTTAATAAACTTGTTTTTACAATCCAAGTTTGTCTATTAAATAAACTTGAATTTAATTAAACTTGTTTTACAATTAAAGTTCGTTTTAATTGTAATAAATTAAATGAACTTGAATTGTAAAACATCAAGCTTATTAAATAAACTTGAAATTAACAAATATTTTTACAATTCAAGTTTGTTTTTATTTAAATAAACTTTAATTGTAAAACATTAAGGTTTACAAATATGCTCAACTTACAAACTTTACCGTTGAATGTGTTTTGCCTCTAAACATGGCTTGTTATTTTATTTAAAGTTTACAAACTTGAAGTTTTATCTTTAAGTTTAATGAAAAAATTTTTGTGTTTTTCTTCTTTTGGCTTTGTTTTTTGCTTTGTTTAACTATATTTTCTATTTGCTTGTGGATTAGTAGAATACAAACTCGAAGACGTTATTTTCACAGACTTTTGAATATTTATGTATTAATTGAATATTTATTTTAATTTTTTATTTATTTTTCATTTTTCAAGCAAAATCGAAAAGGATCCTCGACATTAAATCAATTTTCTGAAGATAATGGGAAAACACCTTTAATCTTCTCAAATATTCCGTTTAAAAATAATTCTGTTGATTTGGACTATGGTGGTGATTTAAGAATTGTTTTAGGGTTAATTCAAGATCAGACTGGTAATTTAATAAATAATTCTCAAAATAAATAACAATTTTTAGGACTACTGTTTTGTGCTCATATATTTCATGAAATTTGTAAAGTTGTAAGTTTATTTGTTTAGTAAAACAAGTTTATTTTGCTAGTAAAATCAAGCATGTTTTTAAGAAACAAGTTTATTTTAATTTAAACAAACAAGTTTGTTTTCAATTAAAACAAGTTTATTTTGAACAAGTTTGTTTTAAACAAGTTTGTTTTTATACAAACAAACAAGTTTATTTTTTATTAGAATCAAGCATGTTTTTATAAAACAAGTTTGTTTTCTATTAAAACAAGTTTATTTTTAAAAAACAAGTTTATTTTGAACAAACAAGTTTATTTTAATTTAGACAAACAAGTTTATTTTCTAGTAAAACAAGTTTATTTTAAACAAGATTGTTTTTATACGAAACAAACAAGTTTATTTATTCATTCCAACAAACATATTTTTAAAACAAACTTTCCTTTGTTTTTATTCAAACAAACTTGTTTTTATATTTAATTCAAACAAGTTTATTTTTAAACAAAACATGTTTTATAATACTATTTATAATCCAACTTTAATTTACATTTGTAAAACATTAGAAACTTTTTTATTTGTTTACCTAGCAATTTAAACATTTTTTCTATTAAGCGAGAAATGACAAGAGGATTGAATGAAGGGAAGGGATTTGAAGAACTTGAGGAAAAATAATTTTTTTTTCAAATTTTTGTTTTAATTTTTTTACTTGTTTTACGTGTCGCCTGGACAACAATACTTGACAAAATACAAAATAAAAAATTCTTAATAATATTTTACACACATTTTTATATTTAATTTTATCAAAAACTTGTTGACCCCTTAAAATATTATTTAAAAAAGAAAGAAAAAATATTTTTTCTGGCCATTATTCACCCCACTTCCAGTCGATTCATCAGCTAAAAATAAAAAATAGAGGAAATAAGGCTTCTTTTCTCCCTTTGCTTTCATTTGTCTCCTATTTGGTTCAATAACAGCTAACCCCTAGCGACTAAAAACGGATGTTTTTGTCATTTCCCAACAAAATTAAATATTTAAATATGTCAAAAATTGTTTAAAAAATTAAAAAAAATTTTCTAAATTAATTTTAATTAAAAAAATAAAAAATATGACTATTTCCTATACTGGAGATATTTGTTCTACTCGTTATTGGAGTTTTTTACGAGTTATATTCCGTTGGAGAGGGTCTATATGGAAATCTGTATTGACCGAATTATTTATCTGGTTGACTCTATATTACTTAATTATGGCTATTTATGTTACTTTACTTGATGAAAAAAGCAAAAAGTTAAGAAAAATTTAATTAAAAAATTTTAAAAATTAAAAAAGAATTTTTTTTGATAAAAAAAATAATTTTTCTAGCAATTTTGTTTATTTGGCACAATATACAGGAATTACTGCAGATTACATCCCCCTAACTTTTATGCTTGGATTTTTTGTAAAAATTGTTGTTGAAAGGTGGAATAATATGTTTGCGAACATTGGGTAATTTTATTTTAAACAAAACAAACATTAAAACATCCAAAACATTCCCCCAAACATTTCCCCAAAACATTCTCTCAAACATTCTTCCAAACATTCTTACAAAACATCTCCCAAACATCCTCCCAAACATTTCTCAAACATTCTTCCAAACATTTCCCAAACATTTCTCAAACATTTCCCAAACATTCCCCTAAAACATCCTCCCAAACATTCTCCCAAACATTCCCCAAAACATCCTCCCAAACATTCTTCCAAACATTCCCCCAACATTTGTTTTTCTAGTTTTGTGGACAGTGTTGCCCACGCAGTTTGTTCTGTTGTGAGAGGCAATGATTTAAAAACAGTAAAAACAAGGCGGAATATTATGCGTTATTTGTGCCTTATGCAAGTTTGTTTTAATGTTTTTACAAAAACAATGTTTTTAAACATGTTTTAAGGTTCTGGTACTCAGAGATATAAGTGTGAGAGTGAGAAAGCGTTTTCCTACTATGCAAACATTAATTAGTGCTGGTATGTTTTTGTGTTTGTTTTAATAAAAACATTAGGTTTTAATATTAAATGCAATGTTTGTTTGAAAATAAGTTTATTTAAAACTTGTTAAAACAAGTTTATTTAAAACAAGTTTATTTAAAACAAGTTTATTTAAAACAAGTTTATTTAAAACAAGTTTACTTAAAACATGTTTATTCGAAACAAGTTTATTTTAAAACATGTTTATTTAAAACAAGTTTATTCAAAACAAGTTTATTCGAAACAAGTTTATTTAAATAATGTTCTTACAAAAAGCTTGTTTGTTTTTGTAATGTTTTTAATGTTTATTCAAAACAAGTTTATTTAACTTTTTAAAACAAGTTTATTTTAAAACATATTTTAATAAACATTAAAAACATCAAAACATTCTCCTAAACATATGGTCAGTAAGTTTAAAACATATAACTTTTAATTAAAGGATTACTTAAAAAACATGAACAAAACTTAATTGAAGAAATCGGCCATCAATATAACGAACAATTTGGTATTTATTGGTTACCTTATAATTGGATCTGTCAACTTTGTTATCGTCTGCGGGAGAATGAAAATATTGCATCTGATCCTCTTTTGTCTTTTGTTCTTCGAGAATTGAGGGAATACAGGGAAAGATTGCAGACTCTCATTAATTTTGATTTAGTCCCAATTCCGTTAGTGAAAAATTAAATTTATAAAAGAAAAACAATCTTAATTTACAGGCTAGCTTATCCTCAAGTAGTTTTTATTGCAGTGCGCACTAGAGATCGGCCGAAGAGGTCGGTCGATATTTTTTCGATAAATACCGAAAAATACCGAATATCGAAAAATATCGAAAAAACCTAAATTTTCTCGGTCGATATTTTTTCGATAAATATCGAAAAATATCGAAACCGAAAAATATCGAAAAAAAAGTCTCGATATTTTTCGATTTTTCAAAAATTTTTCTATAACCAATGAATAACAGAATAGACCTAATATTTTAATGAGATTAAGATCGATTAAATGGAATATTGGTGGATTTGAAGTATCAAATGTAATATCAATTGACTTGTATTTGATATCGAAGGATCAAGTGGGATATAAGTGGATTTTAAGTAATTAAGGGGGATATTGAAGGACTGAGTGTGTATCGAGAGATTTAGAGGTAGTAAAAGTGATATTGTGGATTTGTGAAATCAGGAGGGATATCAAGGGATTTATTGATTAAGAGGGATATCAAGGGATTTGTGGATTAAGAGGGATATCGGGGGATAACGAAATATCAGTGGATAAAAAATCTTGGGATATGATATCCGTTTTGATATCCATCTCTCAAAGTCCGTCTTGATCCCTTGGAATCCATTTTATCCACTTAATCCTCTATTAGTCGATTATCTCGGATATCCACAATATCCTCATGATCCTGGATATCTCAAATATCCCACCAAATTTTCTCATAACCCACTGAAATTTCCCTTAATCTACCGAAATTTTTAAATTCATATCAGTGTTTTGTAGGGATATCGAGGGAACATGATGGCTTAATGGGAGAAGGAAGGATATCACGCAAAATTTTTTGCGCCGCAGGCGAAAATTTTTTGAATTTCCGATGGGTAATAAGCAAAAATACATCCTTTTTGCGCCAAAAATTCAAATTTTTGTCAAAAATGACGTTCGATATTTTTTTCGATTTTTTGTAATTTGGTCGGTCGATTGTTTCGATTTTTAAATTTCTTCGGTCGGTATTTTTTCGATAAATATCGAAAAATACCGAATATCGAAAAATATCGAAAAAGTCAAAATTTTCTCGGTCGATATTTTTTCGATAATATCGAAAAATATATATCGAAAAATATCGAAAAATATCGAAAAAAAATCGTATCGGTCCGATCTCTAGTGCGCACTTATTTTTTAATTTGCCTGTTCTCTAGACAGAAAATTGAAACAACTACAAACAACGTTGATTTATTAAATGTTTTAAAAATAATTTGTTTTAATCGTTTTAGGGAGAAATGTTTTTCCCAGTGATGACTGTTTTACAGGTAAAAATTATGTTTTTAAAACAAGTTTTACAATTAATTAAATAATTACAATTGTAATAACAAAGTTTATTTAAAACAAGTTTATTTAAAGCATTTTTAATAAACTTGTTGTGAACATTAAATAAACTTAATTTTAAATTTATTTGTAATTGTAAAAACAAGTTTAGTATGAAAAACAAGCTTATTTAAAACATGTTTATTTAAAATATTATAAAATAAACTTGTTGTAAATAAACTTGTTTTTAAATTTTTTTATAATTGTAAAACAAGTTTATTTAAAAATTATATTTCATTATTTTCATTAAATGTTTTACAATTAAGTTTATATTTTATATGGGTTGGACAAAAGTTGCTGAAGCGCTTCTCAACCCTGTAAGAAAATTAACAAGTTGTAAAACAAGTTTATTTTTATAGCTGGGCGAGGATGATGACGATTTTGAAACTTTGTTTGTGATTGAGAGAAACATTGTTGTATGTTTTTATTTTTAATTAAAACTTGTTTTAAAACATGTTTTAAAACATGTTTGTAATTGTAAAAACAAGTTTATTTAAATCATTACAATTTTCATTAAAGATTTCTTCCCTTCTTGCTGACAAATGTTTTAATCAAATACCCGAACAAAGTTTGGAAGAAATCGAGGAAAACAATGTTCATAAACACCCCTCATTAATTAATAAAAATATTAATGAAAACAACAATGTTTTGATTGGTTCTGCTGTTCGGGTTATGATGACTAGTGAAAGGAGGGCGTTTAATAAATGGATGGAAAGTTGGAAATTGTTTCCAAGGTAGTTTTAAAAATATTTTTAGAATATTTTGGCATTTTTAAAATTATAAAAAAATTATTTTTTTAAGGAGGCGTAGACAAGAGACTAAAATAGAGGAAAGAGTGTGTGAGGAAACAATGCCGCTTGACTTGGAAAAATAGAATTCTTTTGTCAAAAATAGTTTAAGAAATAATTAAAGATCTCAATTACCTCTAATAAAATAATTGGCCTCCAAAATAATTTTTTAAAGATAAAATCTTTTAGAGTGACAATTTAATTATGAATGAATCATTTATTTATTTCCCCTCATTTTATTCCAAAAATAAATTTTACAATTCGCGCATTGACAGGTGTTGGAAATAAATTACATATGTATATTGTTGGTTGTGCTTTCAAAAATAAAAATATTCTTCCCCTTTTGTATAAAAACAATTCATTGTTTTATAAAACAATTCATTGTTTTTGAATAAAAATGAGAAAATTTAATGCCATAGCAACATGTTCATTAGTTAAAATATTTTTAATTAAGACTTGTTGCAACAAAACAAGTTGAAAACAAAGTTTATTTTCCAACAAGTTTATTTTAATTCAAAACAAGTTTAATAAAAACAAGTTTAATAAAAACATGTTTGACTTTTTTGATTCGATTTGAATGGGACTGTCGTATAAAGCATAGATTTGAAAGATTGTAAGAAATTAGACGAAAATTAAGAAGGGAAAGAATTGTAAATCCTGAAAATTAGAAAAAATTATTAAAAAATATTTAAATGACGATAACGAAAAACTCTGCGGCGTATTCAATGAGAGAAATGAGAGAAACTAAAAAATTATTAAGGAAGACCCCCTTAGGAAAGAGAGGGTTTTAGATAATAGAAATAGAACACTGAAAACTAAAGAACTAAAGATTTTAAGATTAAAAGAGAATGAAAAATATTGGAAAAGAAACTAATTAATTTAAAAACGCGCAATTAATACAAAATACATATGAAATAGAACAAAATCCAAACTTAAAAAATCAATAATCAATTAATTAATATTATGCAATGAACAGCTGTAAAAAACTAACGAAAAATACTATTTTTTATAATTTTTTTAAATTTAATTGTTTTTAAATTTTCTAATTTTTTTTAATAATTATTAGAATTTGTTAAATAAATTAATTATAAAACAACAATGGCTCCACGTCGTAAGCCCTACTCTAAAAAATTGAAGACAGACTTAACTATAAAAAATACTTATTAGACATCGACGAACTCCGTCGTCGCGTTGCAGGCCCGGAAGGGATGAATAGACAGGCACTGAATAAACTTCTGAAAATGAGAAGAAGTGTCAAAATGTTCCGTGAGAAGCTGGCGGTAACTTATAACATAAGAGTAGGCAGAATTACTTATAAAAAATATTTATTCGACATCGACGAACTCCGACGTCGTGTTGAAGGCCCTGAAGGAATGAATGGACAAGCCTTGAATAAACTTCAGAAAATGAAAAGAAGTACTCCTCGAGACTCACCACAATACTCCTCGAGAAAAACACCATTGGCCCAACCACGTAGTCCAGTATACACCTACATACTGCTTTCTACATTATACTTCGAACAATAAAAATGTCACCGGTAAATGGTATTTGCAATTATGAGGTGTGGAAAAAGTCCTTGCTCCATGCCATGTCAACAGAAACCATTGGTGTATGGCCATTGCCGAAATTAAAGAGAGAAAAATAACATTAATGGACTTCCTAAACAATGGCCAGACAACCGAAGGGAAACGTCAATTTATGGAAAATTTCTTGTAAAATTTATTCTTCAAATATAATACGAGTAGAATGAAAAATTGAGATAATTAAGAGAAAAATGGAAAAAATTGAACATCTGCCCCCCTCCTTTTCTTTCCTCAAAATAATAAAAATGGTATTTTAAATACGGTAAAAATTCTACTTTACTCGTTCTAAGAAGAACGGGTAAGGGTAATCGTGAAGAATTTGGGATACACTTTTTAAAAACTTTTAAAAACTTTACCCGGGTAAGTATAACTGTTTGAACAAAAAATAACAGTCGGACCAAGTTTAATATTTTGTGGAAAGTAGAGGGGGTGAAGGAGGTTTTTTACAGGATTATTTTAAGAAAATGATAAGAAAAAAAGAATGAGATCAAGGAAAAACAAAAATAAAAAAATTATTTATGGATTAAAATTTAAGGGATATAATGCTTGTAGCAGCTTTACAATGTAAAGTCAATATTGGCCCGCGGGAATCCTGGACAATGCTGGAAAAATTTGATGTCCCAAGGCAAAAAGGAGGAATTGATTGCGGCGTTTATGCCCTTCTCTATGCCCGATTTGGAATGGCCAATAAGGCTATAAATTTTTCGCAGCAGGAATTATCTCGTATAGAAGATTGTTTTGTCAAGAATTGACCGCTGCAATCGATTCTTACAGGTAGAAAAAATTTTTTAAATGAAAAACATTCCATCGCACACTAAAAAAAGATTTGCTTACAAGTCCGCCACGCAACTTGTCTTTCTCTTATTTTTTTCCAAAAGAATCTTTAACATCTCCTTTTATCTTTTTTCTTCTATTAACTAAAAATGGAATGTTCGGCAATAAGAATTGCTCGAAGGAAAAAAGGAAGATACTCTCACTCCACTCTCTCTTTATTTCTTTTTTCATTGTATTGCCCAAAGGAAAAAAATTCTTTCCATTTTATTCTCAAAGGAAAAAAGAGAGAGTCCATTCCATTCCAAAAGAGAGAGTCCATTCTCTCTCTTCACTCTCTCTTTATTTCTGTTTTCATTTTATCTCACTCATCAACTTCTCTCTAAATTCTAAATGTTCTCTTTTCTGTCTGACCTAAACAAATGATTCAAAACAGAACACTGGCTGGTTTTAAAATGTGAAATTCTGTCCTCTCCTTTGTTAAAAAATGGAAAGATGTGCACATATTTACCAACTTCCCCTTTTCTGATCAAATTCCCCTACCAGTTTCTCCTTTTTCTCTTCTCTACATTAAAAAATGTGTTTTCTTTGTGTCTGGCAATAACAAGCATTCAACAGAAAACATGGGTTGGTTTTGTGATGGGCCCATTTTTGTAAAAAATGAAGACACTGGATGGTTGGCTGTTTAAGAAAATTTTCCTCTCTCCTTTGTTAAAAAATTGGAAAGAATACCTACTTTTACCTACTGCTTTTATCAAAAAATACCTATCTTTTGTAAAAAAGGACTGTTCCCAAGTTATCGATTTGTTTTTTGAAAATAGTATTGTCTCTCTCTATTTTCACCTTCTCTTTTTTTTTATTTCACCGTCAAATTCGAAAACTCCTGATAACCGAAATTTTCGATCGAGATCTTGTTTTTCAAAGTTTCATTAAAATCCTTCTCTTCTCTCTATCTTGTGACAAAAAAAATTTTTTGACGAATTTCAAAATAATTTTATTACTTCTATTTATCAAAAAATTCATTTTTTCTGCCTATTCTTTTATACTACGTACTTTTTATACTCATTTTTGTAAATCTTTTATATTTTTAAACTGTTAAAACAATGGTGTGTCTGAAAAGTCAGAGGTGTTGAAAATCGGAAAAGCCGGAAATCGGAACTGGCTCAAAAATCGGAAATCAAAATTTTTTCGGAAATTAAAAATCTAACCCACCTCTTGTAAAAACAATCAATTTATAACTTTATGCATAATTCTATATTTTCGACAAAGCTTGTTTGTTTCTTTTACTGAACTCCTCCAACATTAAGCTTGCAATATTTTATGGTTATTAAGGGTTGTTGAATAAATTTTAAAAAGGCTTTCCTTTTAAGGTCATTTTTTTATTTTTTTTATATCTAAAATAATTTTTTTCAGTTCCTGTTTGTTATCACTCTATATTTTCTATTGCTAAGATAGGCAGTCTGTTTATGAATAAGGACAGGGATATCGCTGTGAATGTGCATGTGATTTTTCAGGGTTTTTGATATTATTTATTCTTTTTTCTAGATAACCAACCAAGTCCTAACAGCTAAAAGCGATTAATACAGGGCTCGCATCGACAAAATGCCACTCAAAAGTATCAAAATCTTGATTAAAAAGTATATAGGGAGAAAATTTGCGAAAAAAAGTAGTCACAAAATTAAATTCTTCCATTTCTTGCGCCGCAGGCGAAAATTTTTTGAAAATTGGACCCTAAAAGTTAAATTCCTTCCTTTTTCAGTGCCGCAGGCGAAAATTTTGAGAATTTCAAAGGCCGTATGCCAAAAAAATTCACTTTTTTGCCCAATGTCTTCCCCAATTTCATTTTCAATCCAAAATGTTGATTTAAAAGTAGATACTTTCAAAAAAGTATAAATTCAATTTCGTAAGCATGGAGGTCGATTTAAAAGTAGAATCCTATATTAAATTTTAGAATGCTTTGTTTGTCTGTCCGCAGCTTTGAATTTTGCTGTGTTTGGCGTTGTGTTTATTTTTTAATTAAAAATGACAAAATATCCCAAAATTGAAAATAGTGTGTATTTAGAGAAGTAAAGAAAAAATGTGAATTTTTTAGAATTTGTTTTGTATTTTTTTTTGCTTGAGTTTTTTTTATTTTTTTTTTATTTTTTTTTGGCAATTTTTTGTTTTTTTTGTTTGTCAATTGTATTTAAGATGTGTTTTGATTGTTTTGTTTTTTTATTTGTTAAAATTTGTTTTATTTAAAAATTGTTTTTAGATTCAAAATCAAAACAATCTATTATTTAAACAAATTGAGTGTCAAATTGTTGGTTTTCAGTGCTGATATTTTATTTAAGCAACGAGAGTGTCCAACCGGTGGTTAATTTTTGTGAGGTTTGTCTCTTAACATAATTAAAGTTAGGATTTTGTGTTAGACAATGCGATACTAAATAGTTAATGGTCCTAGATAGTTTGACACAGTGAGATACTAAGTAGTTGAATGTCCTAGATAGTTTGATACAGTGAGATACTATGTAGTTGATAGTCCTAGATTGTTTGATATTATGTGATACTGAATAGCTGAATTTACTAGAGTTTGACATTGTGTGATACTAGATAGTTGATTGTGTGATTGATACTAGATAGTTTAGCATTGTGAGATTGATAGTACTAGCAAGGTTGACATAGTGTGATGCTAAATAGTTGATAGTCCTAGAGTTTGACATTGAGTGACACTAAATAGTTGAGAGTACTAGAGTGACTAACAGTTGTAGTATAACAGTTGTAGTATATAAAGTAAAAAAGTTCTTTTACTATTAACTAACAGTTGTAGTATATATAGTAAAAAGTTCTTTTACTATTAACTATTAAAGTAGAGCAGTACTAAAGTAGAGTACTATAGTTTGACATTGTGTGATACTAAATAGCTTATAATTGATAGTACTAGCAAGGTTGACATAGTGTGATGCTAAATAGTTGATAGTCCTAGAGTTTGACATTGTGTGACACTAAATAGTTACTAGAGTGACTAACAGTTGTAGTATAACAGTTGTAGTATATATAGTAAAAAAGTTCTTTTACTATTAACTATCGGTTGTATGGTTGGAATAATGGTAAGCGGAAAAGGTCCCGTAGCTTGGTGAAAAGGATCTGGAAATGGTTGAAATAATGGTAAGCGAAAAGGGTCCCGTAATATTCCAACCAAAAGGGTCTGGCGATGGTTGGAATAAGGGTAAGCGAAAACGGTCTCTTAACGTGTGAAATAGGTCTAGCAATGGTTGGAATAATGTTAAGCGAAAAAGGTCCCGTAACTGTGTGAAAAGGGTCTGTAAATGGTTGAAATAATGGTGAGCGAAAAGGGACCCGTAACTGTGTGAAATAGGTTTGGCAATGGTTGGAATAATGGTTAGTGAAAAGGGTCCCGTAAATGGGTGAAAAGTGTCTGGTGATGGTTGGAATAAGGGTAAGCGAAAATGACCTGTAACCGAGTGAAAAGGTTCTGGCAATGGTGGGAAGAAAAGATTTCGAGCAATAAGCAAAAGAAAAGTATCCAACAAATGGCTTGAGAAATGGTTCCCAATAAACAAGATAAAAGAGTCCGTCAATAGGAAAGAGAAAATATTCGGAGAAAACGGTCCCACAATGGGTACGAAAAAAGCGGTAGTGACTGCGATAGAAGAGTCTGACAACGGTTAACTGACAAGGATTGTTAATAGTTAATGTTGTTAATAGTTGATGGTTAATATTTGAAAATTAATATTTGAAGGTTGGTTAATAGGTAATAGTTGAAATAGATATTAATTGTTGAAAATTGAAAGTTTTAGTTAATAGTTGAATCATTGTTAATAGTTAATAGTTGAAAATGGATAGTTAATAATAGACATAGATATTAATCGGTGAAAGCTGAAATTCTTAGTTAATAGTCGAATCATTGTTAATAGTTAATAGTAGACAGATATTAATAATTAATGGTTGAAAATCGAAAGTTTTAGTTAATAGTTGAATCATGTTAATAGTTGAAAATTGATAGTTAATAATAGACATAGATATTAATAGTTGAAAGTTGAAATTCTTAGTTAAAGTCGAATCATTGTTAATAGTTAATAGTGAAAATTGATAGTTAATAGTAGACATAGATATTAATAGTTAATAGTTGAAAATTGATAGTTAATAGTTAATAGCAAGCATAGATATTATTCTAATAGTTAATATTGGATGATGAAAATCTTGGTTAATAGTTGAGTTAGAGTAATAGTTGACGAGTGAGGTTTTATGTGTGAGGTGTTTTAATTTAAGTTTATGTAATGTTTAGAATTTAGCTAGCGGAAGGGGCTCGCCCGAAGGGCGACCCCCTCCGCTAGTACTTTTAAAAAAGTATGAATGCGAGCCCTGGATTAATAGTTCTTGGTGTGATGGTATACTTGTAAATTTTACTATCTCTTCAAATAAAAATCACCAACAACAGCCTTTAAATCGGTTTATTTTATTTGAAGAATTTGTTAAATTTTTTTTTCAAGTTGTGAATTATGGCAACAACTTTCTATTTTAACTCAACATTCTAATGGGTATTTTTTATTTAAAATTTTAATCGAAATTTTTTTTTAATTTTTTAGTGCAATTGGCAATAATCGGCAATTAATCGTCGCTCCAGTTTTGAATTACTTAATCCTTGTATTAAACAACACCTATTGAAGATTATTGTGGTGGAAATGAAGATGACTTTTCTGCTGCTATTTGTAAAAAAGAATTGGGAGAGGTATACTAAATTTCTGATTTTTACGGGATTATATTTGAGATTAACCAAAAAGTACAACAAATAAATGGAGTTGACTTACATGCTGGTAGTAACAATGCTAATTATCCGCAGCTAGAGATATTTCCAGGCATTTGAGTATGAGTTTTCTTCATAGTTGAAATGCTTGCTGCACAAAACTCAGACTCAAATGCCTGAAAATATCTCTAGCTTCGGATAGTTAGCATTGTTACTACCAGCAACAGAGTCTGAGCTCCTGAGATTAACCTATGTTGAATTCCTGATAATTGACTTTTTTGTTAGACCCCATAAATTAATATTTAAGGGGTTCTTTTAGATCAGTTTACCTCATGGGGATCGACCTCTGGGATCTTGTTTTCTCGGATTTTGAATTGGACCCATTTTTAGAATGGGACTTTATTGTTATTATTTTCAAGATTTGTATTGCTGAAACACTTCTTGTATGCCCTAATTGAAAAAAAAGACTTTCAATAGAAGAAAAATGTCGTCCAATGAATCTTGGCAAATACCTCTATGGATTATATGGAAAAAAATCAAAATCTTTTATTTATGAAACATTTGCTAATCCATTAAATAAAGAATATGCTCTATTTTGAAAAAGGAATTGCTCAATGTTATCCACAAACATTGCTAAAGTTTGTTTGATTTTTTTGTTTTTCTATTTTTTGTCCAAACAATGGGTACTTTTTCATTGTCTCTCCTCATGATTTTCGTGTCATTTGATTTAGATCGTCGTGCTTTTTCGAAAGGTGTTCTATTAATTTTGTCAATATTTTCCTGAGTGAATATTCCTGTCAAAAATGCCCCTGTAGAGATAACGGAGAAGTATTTAAAAAATTTTTTAATTTCAAAAAAATTTTTCTTGAAGGAATGCCTTTATTTCTGTCGAAGTTAACGAAATTCTAGATCCAAATTATAGCTGGGATAATGGACTCTTATTTAATGCAACAATGCACTTTAGAAACTTTAAGAAGAACAACATTATCCTGCCATATTGGTCATTTAGTTACCTAACTGAGAGTGAAATATTCCAGGCAAAATTTAAATCTTCTAATGTAATAAATATATTTTTAGTTAGTGAAAGATTTCAAATTATTAAGCCATGAGAATTACCCGTTCAGGGAAGCTAAAACTTTTTTGTTTAGAGGTAGATAAAAATAAAAATAACATTAAAATTAATATAATTACAGAAATGGATGATTTTGAAGAGAAAATAGATATTATAAGGTTTTGATTTAGTGATATTATCGCATTATTCGCCACCATTTTATTTTCCCTCGAAAAACGTTTTTTAACATCTGGCTATAAGTCCCAAACTGCATGTTAAAGCCTATGCTGGCCGAGTAAAACTGGAGGAGGGGGTGATGGGGCAACAGAAATTATTCTCGGTCCGGCTTTGTTTTCGTGTACATTTTGGAAAATGAAAAATAAAGGAGAAAATAATAAAATGATGTCGAATAATGCGATAGTACCTATATAATAGTTGAAATTAAGAGACTTTCTAAATAATATGATAACATTCCATGACGCGGACACTTCCCCGCTAGCCAAAAAATTTACAACAAATGAAATTGGCCTCACAAATGGTCAACAGAGAAAATTGACAAAATTCTCTCAGGTCAGAAAAATTTATTTAAAATTAAAAAGTTTAAAAATATTTTTTTATAATTTTGTTTATAGTTTGGTTTTTACCCACCCCCTCTTTTTTTCTATTTTTTCAATTTATGGGAATTACCTATATATTTCGAAAGAGCTCTTCAAGATGAGTCAAATAACACAAAATCAACTAAATCTGACTTAGATAAACAAAATGATGACCAGTTTTAATATATTGCTCGGGGACCGGGACGTTTTGGCGCGACCCACCGTTATTGGAACAACTCTCCCCTTGTTCGGGCCAACTTCCCCCGTGTTCAGACAACTTCTCGTGTTCGTGTCAAGTTCCCCCATGTGCGGGTCAACTTCCCAGCTTAAAGAGCTTTTTCGAATGATCTAAAATATATTACATATAAGAAAAGCACAAAATTATAATGGAAATATGAAAAAGAGGGAAGGGTTAAACCAAACTATTACTTAATCTTAAAGTTAACCCATGGTTTTGGTGGCCACGTTATTAAGTAAGTTCTAAAAGTTATGCTAAATATTATTTGTGATGATGATGATTCTTCAATCGAATCATCAGACTCTGATCCAGAAGAAGCCGATAATAATTCATTATTTAACGAGTGTAGAATAAGAATTAAAAATTATAAAGCAAAAGAACCAGAACGTGTTAGTAGTCATTTAGTTTTTAGAGTAATATAGTAGTAATTTAGGTAATACTGCCGAAAATATAAATAATGATGAAATTATGAATAATGATTTAGATGATTTTAACAATGAATTAGCTATTGTGGAAGCGGAGAATGTTGAGATTAATGAAAATTTAAAAGTAAAATTTTAGTATAAAATATTAAGAATATTTCAAATACTTTGGCTGACACCCCCTTTTTTCTCTTTGCTTTTTTTCTATTTTTTTATTTATCACAAAATATACATATCTTTCGAAAGTGTTCTTCGAGCTGAGTCAAGTAATACCAAAATCAACGAAATCTAACTTAAACTAACAAAGTTATGACAATATGATTTAATCCCTTACAACGACACAATACATATGTAGAAAAATTGGGTCAGCCAAAGTATTAGCTTATTTTGGAATTAGAAATAAAGCAATAGAAAATAACTTGGAATTAAAAATATTAAAAAAAATATATATTAAGGAGAATATGGAAGAAATTAATATAATAAATACGACTTGTAAAAATATGGTTTGTAATCAACCACCAAAAGAATTTACCCGCATTACTTTGTCTTTCGACAATGGGTTTTTGACTGAAAGAAAATTTTTGAGGTGGATAATAAAATAATAAAAAAATAATAATGTACTAACTGCTGTGACCACCACTCAAAATTTCCTTTGTTTTCTTTTTAATGGACACAACCAATTACTCTAATATTACCTTTTCTCTTCTCTTCTCCTTTTTAAACGGTTTTTACAATAAAAAGAGTCTGGGATTTAAACGTTTAAATTTCGAAATAAAGAGTAAAAAGGACAAAAAATTCAATTCAGGAAATCCCCACTAGTATAAAATTTTTTCGATTTGGTTGGTCACAGCAATCTAGGATCCCTAAAAATAATTTTTTAAATAGGAAATGCCACCTTTAAAAATGCTGGCATCTCCTGAAAAAATTATAAATGTTTATGAAGACGAAGAAGAGAAAATTGTCAGATGTGCAAAGGTCCCTTTTTAAATAAATTTAAATAGTCTTGTGTACAAGTTAGACCTCACTATAATGAGCGTGATTCACTTTATATAGACTTTTTGGTTGGCCATTAGGTAGGGGAACTGCTTTAGCAAATCCCAGTATTGGGTAGACCTCATTATAACATAAAAATTTCAAGCATGAGTTCACTATAGTGAGGTTTTAGAATAAAATAAGCTAAGAATGGAGTAACAAAAAAATTTAGTTATTTTACAAAGACGATGATTTAAATGAAAAATTGAATTATGAACTAGACCAAGAGTTCATATCTTCTGTTATTGAAAAATTAAATGGAAAAAGAGAAGCAAGGAGAAATATTGAATTTGAAAGAAGAAATGTGGGTTGAGGCAGAATGTCCATTTATTACTTTTGAAGGTTTTATTGAATTTTTAGAAAATTTCTTTGAATTTTTATTTTTTAGAATTAATGAATAAAATTGAGGATCTTGTTTCTGATGTAGTCGAGAGGGTTTTCAGTGATCCTGAAATTTCTGAATTAATATCACAACGATGGGAAACGTCAAAGGTTTTTTTAAAAGTTATTTAAGTAGTTTACTGGTTTTGATGAAAAAAGAGGAAAAAATGTTCCTTTATTTTTTTGAGAGTAGTCAATAGGTAAAAGTCTCCTTTGAGAACCCAACGAGTCAACCTTGTCGAATTTAGTCCGTGATTTTGAATAGAGAAAATGTAAATTGCTATTGGACTCGGCAAACTCTATTGCCCACTGACAAACCTAAAAAAAATCCACGCAGCACTTCCTCATATTTTCACTGGGATCAGTAAACTAAATGATTATCAAAATATCATTAAATTAATTTTTCATATTTTTAGGAAAAGTTTTTTTCATTAAAACGTCCATTCCTTCAAATGACTTATTCTGATGCAATTGAATGGCTGCGCAAAAATAATGTAAATAATGAAGAGGGAAAGCCGTCTAAGTTTGGAGAGGACATTCTAGAAGAACCAAAGAAGACATCCAGAACCATTCTTGTTTTAATCTTTAAGAAATGGTCAATGACAACTCAAATAAAATCTTTGGCCGTCTTGGACGTCTTGTCTTCCTGAAGGAGTTGGACATATTACTTAATGATATTTCGAATGAAGCTGTTTGGACGTTATCGAGTGCTAAAGGTTTTTTTTGAAATTTTTTAAGGAAAATTTTTTTTATTTTAAGAAGGAATGGGAATACATCAAGTTATTGGATTATAGAGAAGACACTTTTTGGTTTCTTTTTTTTTATTTTTTAAATATATCGATCAAGGCGGGGTCCGCAGCCCGCCTTGTTTGCATTAAAAAATTATTTGAAATTGTGGTTAAGTGGTTTAACTTGTCGGTTTTGGACCGAACTGACATGAACCGAGGATTTTTCGGTTCGGTTCCGGATATCCGAGATTTTCCACAACCGACAACCCTTTTCCTATACCCGACTCAATTTTTCGGTTCGAGTCGGTCCATTTTAGCAACCCTAGATATTATCTTGCCTTTTAAATCCTTTATTGTTATATTTTTTCTATTTAAATAATAAGATTCCCGTGAAAAAATTTTTCTTGATATTATTGAATAAATTAATGTTATATTAATTTTATTGATTTAAATGCGTTGATTTTTTTAATCATTAAGACTATTTTTTATAATCAAATCTTTTCTATTTTAATCTTCAATTTACAGAACAAATTTTCTATTTTAAATTAGATTTTTTATAATAATGAGCAGCCAGGATCAAATAATTGTTGAACACGAAGGAGTTAAATATTATAAAGAGGTTTCTTAATTAACTTTGGAAACAAAAAAATTTATATTTTTTAGGAAGACCAAGGGTATCAAATGTTTCCAATTAACAACGATAAAGTGCCTGATGAAATTACCTGATAACCTGATGCATCTCCTGAAAAAATAGTAAATCTAAAAATGTTAGTATCTCCTGAAAAAATAGTAAATGAAGATGAAACTGAAGAGGAAAAAATTGTCAGAAATGCTAAGGTCCTTTTTTTAATAAATGTAAAATAATTTAAAAATTTAAGTTATTTTATAAAGACCATGATTTGAATGCCAGACTAAATTATGAATTAAATATGGAGTATTTAACTGATATTGTTAAAAAATACAAAATAAAAAAGAAGCAATGAAAAAAATTGAATGTGAAAGAAGAAATGTTTGTTTTAAATAAAGTCTTAGAAAAAATAATAAGGATATCAAGCCCGTAACCAAGACTTTTTTCGAGGAGGGGGGGGGGGCAACGGGAAAATTTTGAGAATTTTGGAAGGCCAAACAGCCAGATTTCTTCCGTTTTTAGCGCCTCAGGCGAAAATTTTTAAAATTTCGAAAGCCATATGCCAAAAAATCCAATACCCTCCCCAAACTTTTCCTTTCCCCCACCCCCTACTCGCCCGGCTACGGGCCTGAATAATATGTACATGACTTAATTAAGAAATGGGAGAATGTCTTTCTTCACTTGACAATATTTTGCTATTTAAAAATAAATATGAAAATTATTTAAAAGAAAATGAAATTGAAATGGATCCCCTAGAAAATCTTTTGAAAAATAAAATTGATGAAATTGATGAAATCTCGGTATGTTTAAGAAAATGGGAAATCAAGGCTTAGTGTCCCCTGCGTTTTATTTTACTTTTTGTTAACTTTTCCTTATTTTGGAAAATATGGAAATCAAAAAATGAAGGACGGTAAATTGAAATAGCCTTGGTTTTAAAAATAAGCCTTGGTTTACCAAAAAAATTGCCAAAAAAATTTTAAAGAAATTTTTATAGAAAAAGAGAAAGCGCGGTAACTTGAAACAAAGGTGGCGAGAAAAGGTTATAAAATAAAATATAAAAATATATAAATAAATTTAAAAATAAATAGAGCCGAAAACACTTGTTGGAAAGACTAGAAGAAGAAATAATTGTAAAAAAACCTTGTTTAGAAAATTTAGAAAATAATAAAGAATTTTGGGACAATTTTATAAAAAACAAGGAAAAATATTCGGATAATGATGATTGGATAAAGGTGGGGTAAAAAATAAAACTTTCTATTGCGAAGTGAGTTGGGTATTTCATGGATATGTCACCCCCCCCTATTTTGAGTTTTAAAAAAACACGTGGAAAATAATGGCAAAATAAACTCGCTAGAAAATAATGGCACTTGTTTTTTTCGAAAAAATATGGCAAAATAAAAATGGCGAAATATCGAGAAAAAAAAAGAAAAAATGTAGAAAAGGGAAGGGGATATTAATGGAGTAAAAAAAAGGAGTGAATATTAAAAAGAAGAAAAATCTTCCTAAAAAATTTTTTTAAATTTTAAACTAACCGATATAGCACTAGTAAATGTTCTATTCCAGTCAGTACTTCTAACATAAATTTCATGACTATTATATCGAGGACCAACAAATTTCAATTCCCTATATATCGCTGTCTGAGTCTTTTTCCCAACTCTACATGTTGAGCCATTCCTGTCTTAAAAAAAATTTTTTTTGAAATTTTTAAAATTTAAAGGAAGCTTACAGGTGTTAATTGCCCTCATCCTTGAGGCCAATCCTTTTCTTGATATTTATCCGTTTTGAAGGTTTTGTGGGTGAACGATCACCGTGTCTCCACAACTAAAAAATAAATTTAAAAAAATTATTTTCAAAAAATAATAAACGAGCCAAAATTTAAAAATTTTCTCTGTAGGGCAGAGACAGTATTTTTAGATTAAAGGGAGAAAAAAGGCGTGCCTGTAAAAAATATCGCTTGCTAAAATGTCGCAAGGCTAAAAAGGGTTAAAATATCGTAACGGCGAAAAAGGTGTTAAAAGATAGAAAGATAAAATATCGCAGCAATAAAATCTCGACAAGACTAGAAATGAGTTAAAATATCAACAAGTCCAAAAAAAAGATTAACTGATGATTTTTAATATGCAAAATACAGTTGTGTGCCATTTGAAAAAATTTAGTGCTTAACTCACTTCGCAATAGAAATTTTGGGGGTATATCTATAAGTTGACATTTTAGGGGATGAGGGGCCATTTACCATGGGATGTGCTACTAACCCTTCGAGATGGAGAGTGGTTGGAGGCATCTGTAATTGATGCTTATCTACAACACTTATGTTTTGAAACCCCGACCCATAATACTCCTCGAGAGCAGCATCATTGGCCCAACCACATAGTGCAGTATATACCTACATACTGCTTTCTACACTATGTTACGAAGAATAAAAGTATTACCGGCAAATGGTATTGGCAATTTGGAGGTGTGGAGAAAGTCCTTGCTCCATGCCATGTCAACAATAACCACTGGTGTATGGCCATTGCCGAAATTAAGGAGAGAAAAATTATATTAATGGACTCCCTAAACAACGGGCACACAACTGATAAGAAAAGAATTTATGGAAAATTTCTTGTAAAATTAATTCCTAGAATATAATAAGGGTAGACGGAAAATTTTAGATAATTAAGAGAAAAATGGAAAAAATTGAACATCTCTCCCCCCCTCCTCTTCTTTCCTCAAAATAATAAAAATGGTATTTTAAATACGGTAAAAATACGGGTAAGGGTAATCGTGAAGAATTTGGGATACACTTTTAAAAACTTTATCCGAGTAGGTATGTATAACTGTTTGAACAAAAAACAACAGTTGGACCAAGTTTAATATTTTGAGGAAAGTAGAGGAGGTGGAGGAGGTTCCGAAAGATTAGTTTAAGAAAATGATAAGAAAAAATTGAGATTAGGAAAAATTAAAAAAATAAATTATTTTTGGATAGAGAATTAAGGGATAGATTATTTTGAGTAAAATAATAAGAAAAAAATATTAAGATTAATGAAAAAACAAAATTAAAAATATAAATTATTATGGATAAAAATTAAGGGATATACTGCTTCTAGCAGCTTTACAATGTAAAGTCGATATTGGCCCGCGGGACTCCTGGACAAGGCTCGAAAAATTTGATGTCCCGAGGCAGAAAGGAGGAATTGATTGCGGCGTCTATTCCCTTCTCTACGCCAGATTTGGGATGGCCAATAAACCATTAAATTTTTCGCAGCAGGACATATCTTCTTATCGAAGATTAATTTGCCAAGAATTGACCGCTGCGATCGATTCTCAAAGGTAGAAAAAATTTTTAAAATGAAAAAAAACTAAAAAATATAACTGCTGTGACCACCTTTCAAAATGTCTCTTTGTATTCCCTTTGTTTTTTTTAATGGACACAACCAATTACTCTAATATTACCTTTTCTCTTCTCTTCTCCTTTTTAAACGGTTTTTACGATAAAAAAAGTCTGGGGTTTAAAACCTTTAAATTTCGAAACCAAGAATAAAAAAGCCAAAAAAGTTATCAAATGACCCACTAGTATAAAATTTTTTCATTTGGTTGGTCACAGCAATCTTGGATCCCTAAAAATAATTTTTTGAATTAAGAAACACCAAATCTAAAAATGTTAATGTCTCCTGAAAAAATAGTAAATGAAGATGAAACTGAAGAGGAAAAAATTGTCAGAAATGCTAAGGTCCTTTTTTTAATAAATGTAAAATAACTTAAAAAATTTAGATTATTTTACAAAGACCATGATTTGAATGCCAGACTAAACTATGAATTAAACATGGAGTATTTAACTGATATTGTTGAAAAAATACAAAATAAAAAAGAATCAATGAAAAAATTGATGTGAAAGAAGAAATGTTTGTTTTAAATAAAATCTTAGAAAAAATAATAAGGATATCAAGCCCGTAACCAAGACTTTTTTTGAGGAGGGGGGGGGGCAACGGGAAAATTTTGAGAATTTTAGAAGGCCAAACAGCCAAATTTCTTCCGTTTTTAGCGCTCTTCCGTTTTTTAAAATTTCGAAAGCCATAGGCCAAAAAATCCAATACCCTCCCCAAATTTTTTCCTTTCCCCCCACCCCCTATTTAACAAAAACAAGTTTAATAAAAACAAGTTTAATTCAAAACAAGTTTAATTCAAAACAAGTTTAATAAAAACAAGTTTAATAAAAACAAGTTTAATAAAAACAAGTTTAATAAAAACATGTTTAATAAAAACATGTTTAATAAAAACATTACAATTTTAATAAACTTGTTTTTAACATAAACAACTAAAATTAAAACTTAAACATTTTAAATAAGTTTTTCTTATTTCAAACAAACAAATAATTATTTCTTATTGTTTTTGTGGTATATGACAACAGCTGTTTATTTCTCCTGGAACTTTTAATCTTTTTTCTAAACTAATAAGATTGATCACAAACAAAATTATTTATATTTAACATCATTCACTTTAAAATTAGTAAAAATATTTTTCATTTTATTCTGTTAAATTATAATTTATTTTTAAAAATTTATTTTTTTATGTGCTACCTAATTATTTTTATTTTCAATCTCATAGCTGGCAAAATAAAAATAATTAAAAATACCCTAGATATAATTATTAAGTATAAAGCCAAACATATGTTGCAACAACATTCTTTTCTCTTTTAACCGGCAATAATAATAATTTGGATTTTGCCTTATTATTAACTATATTGGCTAGAGATCATCTATTAAATATTAAAGGGAAGCCTTTTCCTCCTAAAAGTGGTTTTGCTTGTCAACTAAGCCAAAAACCTCCCCTCTTCCCCCTACCTTTATGGGGGCTAACCCTGTGCCAAATAGCAAAAAATGAATATTTTTATGCAAAGCATAAAAAAAGAATAAAAGTCATTTTCAACAAATTTCCTCAAATTTTATTGCAAAATATTAAATTATATTTTTTATTCATAATTTTATAGACTAAAAATAGTAATCTTTAACCGTTGAACAAAAAAATGACATTTTATGTTTTATTACTTATAAACATGTTTTGTTGAGTTAATAATTTAATAAACTTGTTTTTGTGGAACAGCTAAACAAAATGTTTATAAATAAATAAACTTGTTTATAAATAAACTTGTTTATAATAAACTTGTTTATAATAAACTTGTTTAGACAAAACTTGAAATGTTTTGATAAAAACATATTTTTTAACAAACATGTTTTTGCAGAATAAATAAACAAACCTGTTTTTAAAAACTTTTTAAATAAATAAACTTGTTTTTATTTAAACTTGTTTTTGTTTCCCCAAACATGTTTTATTTAATGTTTTAGTAATTTTCCCAACTTGATGGCTATTCCAAACTTTAACAACAATGGGCAAAAACACTTGCCAACATTTGTTGACATGTTTTAATAAAAACAATGTTTTAATTCTCTTTCGACGCCTGTTTGTTTCAATTTGTTTTGTTTCTCTATTAGCAGTTTGTCAACTATTCTTTCACAACAACACAACTTTTAATACTTCCCAGTCAACAATATTAAAAAATATTGAAATTAATAAAAATCAAAATTATAGGCAAAATTAATTTTAAATTTATCAATTTAATTTTTAGTAATTTACCAAATTTTTTAATTATTGGTGTTCGAAAGGGGGGAACTCGAGCTTTATTGGACGCCCTTGCATTACACCCCAAAGTTAAAATTGCCCGGTAATTTAATTTTTAAAAATATTTTAGTAAATTTTTAATTAATTTGAAAGACATGAGGTCCACTTTTTTGATAAAGAAAAAAATTTTCGTCGCGGATTGGATTGGTATAGTAAACAAATGCCAAAGGCATGTCCAGATGACGTGAGAAGAAATTTAAAAAAAAATTTTAATTTTCAGAAAAATTTTTTTCTAATTTTAAGGTAATAATAGAGAAGACTCCCGCCTATTTTACTGCAAATCCACAAGTTCCCCAACGAGTATTTCAATTTAACCCAAAAATTAAATTTATTCTCATAGTGCGTTCGCCTGTTACTAGAACTGGTAAATTAGAAAATTTTAATTTAAAATTAATTTAAAAAATAGTTAGTGATTTTACACAAATTTTACAAACAAAAAAAGAAAGGAATAAACCAACAATTAATTTTGAAAAAATGTCTTTTATTAAAAATTGTAATGGTTCGGTACAATTAAATAAACGGTGAACTAATTTTTAATTAAAAACCTGAATAAACATGAATAAACATGTTTTAATAAAACTTGTTTTGAACATTTTTTAAATAAACTTGTTCAGAAAAACACGTTGTCTTAATAAACATGTTTTATTACATATTTAATAAACTTGTTTTAATAACCTTGTAAAACAAACATCCACAAACAAGTTTATTTTAATAAACATGTTTTAGATAAACATGTTTTGACATTTTTTAAATAAACTTGTTTAGAAAAACACGTTGATTTAATAAACTTGTTTAAAAAACATGTTTTAATACGCATGTTTTAATAAACTTTAAAACAAACTTATTCACAAACAAGTTTATTTAATAAACTTGTTTTATTACAGACTTGTTTTAAATAAACTTTAATTAAAACATTATTTTAAAACATAGGTTTAAACCCATTCGTAATTCACTATATGCCGAACATTTAAACAGATGGCTAAACTATTTTCCATTAAAACAATTTTTAATTATAGATGGAGATAAATTTATTGAAGACCCTTTAAGTCAGGCATGTTAATTTTTATGGAATTAAAAAAAAATTTTTTTTTAGTTAAAAATAGCCGAACGATTTCTCGGTTTAGAGCCTTCCATCAATTCAACTCAACTAATTTTTAATAAACAAAAAAATTTTTATTGCTTCCGACAAAATTTAAATTCAACAATTCACTGTCTAGGCAAAAGCAAGGGCAGAAAACATCTCAAAATTTCATCAAAATTTAGACTCTCATTAATAGAACATTTTAGGCCTTACAATCAAAAATTCTTTTCTCTTATTAATAGAAAATTCCAAACATGGGAATAAATTTTTTTGTATAAAATGTGTTTGAATTAAAAAATGTTTTTAAAGCTTATACAAAGTAATGTCTTCACAAATTTTATATACCATCCGAAAGGGTATAAACTTTTGCCACCCCCACCTTTCCCACAACAAGTTCCTCTTGTCTTTACTCTACACCACTAACACTTGTACCGCCTACAATAGCAACACCTCGTGTTGCTTCTCCTCAAATTCCACCACCATCAGCACTACTTCACCAACAACCTCCACAACTACAACAGCAATATGTTGCTCCAACACCTATGCCAATGTCAATAAACCCTATCTTATTGTTAGAAATATTTTTATAGGTATCAGGGATGTCATCGAGTCTGATTTTTAAAATTTTCTTCGGAGCGGGTTTTGGGGCTTAAAAAAGTTCTGGGACAACAATTGGAGAAAGTTAGCCGAGTTTTGGAAAAATTTCTGGGAACGGTTTCGAGTCGGAAAAATAGCATGGATAGCCCATGACTTACTAAGTAACCTAAATTTTATATGTCAAATCTTAAAAAAATTTCTAGAAATTTTACCAACAATTAAAAAAAATAATTTTTAAACAATCACACATAAATGGTCTTTTTGGGACAATAATTTCAAAAATAAGCTCACACAATAACGACTATAAATAATTTAAATAAATTAAAATCTTTTATGAATTAACCAGATTAGGACACGGATACTGATTTTGGTATCCGTATCCGGATATTTACGGCGGATACAGACGGATATCCGTAGGCATTTTTATCATATCCGTATCCATGTCCTAGTCTAGAATTTAATAAAAAAATCTTTATGGGGCACATCGTCCAATAAATCGAGGATATAAACAAACATCCCTTATATGGTCTTGATTAGCTAACCAACAAACAAACCGTTCCAATTCAAGTCCAAAACCTCCATGTGGGCATCCACCATACTTCCTTTGGTCTACATACCAATAATAATGTTTAGGGTCCACATTGGTTATTTTAAAAGCTTCCAAAATTTCCTTTTCCTTCCAAATCCTCATTGAACCACCAACAACTTTTCCAATTCCAGGCAGTAAGAAATTTACAGATTCTGTCAAATTCTTCTTCTTTCCTTCTTCATCTTCACAACGAGAAGTGTTCATGTCTTCATCTTCACAACGAGAAGCTTTGGTGCCAGCTGGGAAACGATTCAACAAGATTGGCTTTAAAAAAAAATTTTTTTTTTAAATTAAAAAAAAATTAGAAAAAAAACCTGTCCAATTGTATCAAGCATTTGTCGTCCAGAACCCTGTGGAATGAATTCTCCAAAATTAAAAGGCTTCCCTTCTTTGTTATTCACATTATTTTTGCGCAGCCATTCAATTGCATCAGCATAAGTCATTCGAAGAAAAGGACGTTTAAATGAAGGAAATTTTTTCTGAAAAAAATAGGAAAAATTAATTTAAGGATATTTTTGGTAATAAATTTTAGTTTACTGATCTTTGTAAAAATATGAAAAAGTGCTGTTGCGATATTTTTAGATTTCAATAAGCAATCGAGTTTGCCGAATCCGAATATCAATTCATATTTTATTTATTCTGAAACACGGACTAAATTAGACTAGGTCGAATCTCTGGGGGGTTCTCTAAGGAGACTCTTTTACCTATTGACTAATCTCAAAAAATAACGGAACATTTCTTCCTCTTTTTTCAACAAAACCAGTAAACTACTTACTAGAAGTCGGTAAAATCGCATTCCCGGGATCCGGTAACGGGATTTTCTTTCAAAATTTTGTATGGACGGGATCCCGCGGGATTAATCCAGTAATCTCGTGTTTCGATAAAAACCTGGGATTCCGGGACGAGATCCGTAAAATCCTGTACGGGGTCCTGTCCCGTGCCGGCTATAGTGCTTAAATAACTCTTAAAAAAACCTTTGACGTTTTCCATCGTTGTAATATTAATTTAGAAACTTCAGGATCACTCAAAACCCTCTCAACTACATCAGAAACAAGATCCTCAATTTTATTCATCAATTCTAAAAAAATAAAAAATTCAAAAAAATTTCTAAAAATTCAAAAAAACCTTCAAAAGTAATAAATGGACATTCTGCCTCAACATGAGAGTTTTCAGCCAAATGTCGACTCGTTCGAGATTTCTCCGCTCTATAAGACTGCGCTATACAATAACAATCTCCCAGAGAAGAAATGCATGTTTCCAAATAAAGCTGCGACGATTGAGTTAAATAAGCCTGTTCACCAAAAAAGTCAATGGAAAAAAATGTAGAGCTTCCTTCAACCTAAAATTTAGCAGTTAAACTCTAAAAAGTTGATTCTAAATAAACCTGCGTTTGAACAAGTGTTGGAGGGCATACTTCGACATATTTGCGAGAATAAAAATGTTCCCTTATTGCACGCGTTACGGCCGCTCGGATTCGAAGAATTTCAGAACAATTTTCTCCTCTAATACACAAATGACGATTGTCCAGATTAACATCAGAATTTGCCTCAGCATTTAACACATTGTCAATCCCACCGGGCGGTGCTCCATGAATTAAAGTCCAAAAATCAGCAACGAGTTCTACACCACCTGGGGCCGTCTTTCTTTTAGGGGGTTTGTTCACCTGATTTAAGGTAAATAATAGAGGTGGATGAGACCGGTATTCCCTGCGGCGGGTAAAAAAAGAAAAAAGGAAAAAGAAAAAAGACCCGCCATAGGAAAAAATAAACGAGACATTTAACCGGTCTCGTCCAACTCTAGTGAATAAATTAAAGAGAAAGAAGCAAACCGTTCCGTATATGCAAACAGAGCTTTCCGTAGTCAATGTTAAAGCTTCAGAAGTTTGGCAAAGTACTCCACTCAGAACACATTGCAAAAAGCCAGTCCCATCTCGAAGAACAACTATCAAGTCCTTTCCTATAAAAAAAAGGAAAAATTTTGAAAGAGATTTTTAGTTTTAAATTGAGGTTCCAGAGGAAGATTCGAACCAAGGGCCATCCAACCCCAAAACATTAAGGGAAAACATAGAGACATAGAGATCAGCTTGGATCCGGATCCAGGCCCTGATTTTTCCCAGATTCCGAGTCAAGATCGAGGCATCTTTCAGGGTTCCTCGATTTTTCCTTGACTCAAGGTAAAAAATCGGCAGGATTCAAGAGCAAGATTCAAACCCGGACCCTCCAAATCTCAAAATTAAAGGGAACCCAAAATCCTAAAAAAAACAAACTTTGTTGTCGACAGCGATGTACAAAACCAAAAATTTGAACTCTTTGTCCACACATTGTAGAACAATCACGTATCTTCACTTTAATTGGAGCAGGAAGCAAATCTTCTTCAGAAATATTTGAAGACAAATTTTGTTGTTCTTGTTGTTTTTTAGGCCCAATTTTGTACTGGCGTAGAAGCTTGCATTCACTGACATCGCTAGAAGTAGGCAACGAGTACCAGAAAAGATAGCCTTCCATACTCGCAACAATTAAGTAATCAATTCCCTAAAATTTATTTTTTGATGAAATTATGTAATTAAAAAAAAACCTGAATTTTAGGCATAGCCACAACAGTTTTATGTCCATATATAGGCAATTTAGCTATGGCAAAACTTTCTTTTCTCTCCAATTGTTGATCACGTCTAGCCAAGGAAAACACATGAACAGTTTCAGTGTTTGATGATTGACACAAAAATCGAGAATCTTGGGAGAAGGCAAGAGAGCTTATTTGAACACAGCAATTGACTCCACAGACAAATTCAAATAAACGTTCTCCACCAGGAATTGAGAAAACACGAATCACAGTTCCCTTAAATTGAGAATATTTTAAAGAATCTAGCAATAAATTTTGATAGTAAAGGGAATTCAGGGAAACCCAAAATATCCCACTTATCAAAAAAGTGAAGGGGAGGGGGCACTTAAAAAAATAATAATCAAAATTCAAAACCTTCTCCGATCCTGTAGCAAGTTTGTCTCCATCCGGGTTAAATTTAACAGCAGCCAAAACACTATCATGAGCACGTATTTGACAAACAGTATTTAAATTCTCGGCATCAAAAATGTGTCTTAAAATGGGAAAATTAAATTTAGATTACAAAAAAGGGAT